GTCCTGAGCACAGCAGGGGATTAGGTGTAGAGTTAAGACTAATTCTAGAGTTAAAGTTAAAACGCGGGAAAACGTACGGCCCTGGGATTTAGCGCGAAACTATCTGTAGTCTGTTCTTGTTTTTGATCCTGTCTAACTCTAAGTGAAGGTTCACCGCACTTGTGCAGATCAACGTATTCTACATTAGGTCTACTTTGTGCCCTACTTGGCAATTTCTTAAAGTATATACCTAGCGACAATAAAAATTCAATTATTGTCGGCAACAGTTGCTTATGTAGGCCCAGTCATTAATCCCTAATCCCTGCATATTTTCCTACGAAAACGGTGGTTGTAGGGTTTTATGGGTGGGGAAATAGGACACGCGGTGGAATTAACTTTAACAAATGCTACATGCATTTTTATTTTACTGTATTTAGAAGTGTTGTTCATTTATATCTGTAGATTTTCCTAATCTGTATTGTGGTTTAAATTATTGCGGAAAACCCCAATTATCAAATTGAAGGTTTCTTGAATTTCCCGAAAAATTGAAATGGTGGTTAGGAGGTCGTCTATTCAATTTACTGAAGTCCAACTTACTGTTCTGGAGTTAGAATTAGTATAGACCGCGGCGTGAAGCGCCCACACATCTTCAATTTACATGCCGAACAACTTACTCCCAGCAGCCGCGGGAAGCAATTTCAACTAGATTTTTTTTCACTTTACACTTCTAAAAATTTCTTTCTCTGCCGATCCTATTTCCCCTCCCCCCAAAACTCTATAACCACTGTGTTTGCAAGACAAGATGCTGAGAGTAGGGGTATATGGGTGGGCCTACATAAGCTACTTTTGCCTTACTGTCTTAACATGATCGTTTTTATCCTTCCAATATTTATGAGGACGACAGGTCTCTCTTGCAGGTTCCATAGGTAGAAACTTATTTATCGGTTGCTGGCTAGCAAGCGTAAGCGGCCAGCTCGCATACCCTTTTCCAAATGCAGTCTTTATGTTAGATCTGAAAATTGGTATCCTACACCAACTCGCTACATATAAATAAATTGTGGGAACTGATTATATTTTTTAGAATCGCTGTAGGTCTCTATCCAGAGCCACTTAGGTCGCACTTGTAAACTTTAAACTATAAGAACTAATTGTTACTTCACAGATCTTACCGGTCTGTGATCATCGTAGTAGTGGCTGGCAACTGTTAAATAAAGAAAATTTGGCCGTTTCGGTCATTTTTGGTTAGGCTTTCAATCAGCAGGTCAGCTGCATCGGCAGCTAGCGTATGTTTTGGTCTGAGCGCATCAGAAAATTGTGCCGGGTTGCCCAGCTGCATATTTATTTCATACTTATCTCTTAGTCAGCCGAGAGGACTTTTAAGTTTTCAGTCTTGAAATTCATAACACCTTCAGAGTAAAGGTCTTCTTTTTTTAAAAAAAGAAGAAGGCCAATTGTGTGAAAAACCTCTCCTCTTTTATGTTTTCATAAATTTTCTTTCTACATGCAAGAACAACAGCATCAAAATCGCCGATTATTTCAGACGGCTCCACACAAAGACTTTTTGATTTGTACTTAGTAGGGCCTTAGAAAACCCGTGTCCTTGAAAGCCTTAACGTGCTCTCGACCTCATCGTTGTCGGTGTCATCGGAATGCGAGGCCTAAAAAGTACCCTTCGGGTATGTCCCTCAGAGCACATGATCAGCCTTGTGACCACAGGTCACTCCTGGCTTGAAGATATAATCCGAGGCATTTCCCAGCTTCTCTCATTCTACCCAAATACTCCGTGAAATTAAACATGCTAGTTGTGCAAAAGCGCCTCGCAGCCCTCGCTAATCAAGTCCGTGTTCAGTCTTTGCGTTGGCTTGCCTACAGCGCTGTCAAGAGGCGAGAACCCGGTGGTATGTACTCCCTCTGTAACCCTAACTGAACCCTCTTCTGGCCAGGCAGTAATGAACTCGACATCACCTGGGCGCAGCTGAAACGGCTGCAGGATTGCAGTTCACCGTCCGAGTTAGTGGTGATAGATGTGCGATGTGAGGAGGATGCGTTTCGCCGTGGAATCCTCAAGGGCGCCATAAACATCCCACGTAAGTCTCCTGTCTCTACGTGGTCATCCCTTTCTGTAGTAGATGATCTCTACTATGCGTTTCTGTTGCCAGAAGACAGATTCTTGAGTAAATATGGCTGCCGAAAGCCCAACGAAGATACGCAAATTGTCCTCTACTGCAGTCACAACCGAAGAGCTCAGCTTGCTCGACGAAAGCTGGCATATTTTGGAATTCCAGGGTAAGCTTCATGCGCCTATATGATTCTCAAATGCTTTTTTTAGTTGCATTTGCCTGAGCGGTGGAATAGAAGAATTGTACAAGGAGCGGGCGAACAGTTGATCACACAGAGTTCGCTGTACACACCTACCTCACTTCAAATTTGGCATTTCACTACGTGTTTTACCCCCTTATGCTTTTAACAATGTTTTATAAATGTTATGTAAGGTCGAATGTGCATAATGAATAAAATATTTATCCGAGTACCTTTTTTTCAATTGGTGATATGTGGGCTGAAAACAATTTCAGTATTCTCGTGTTACGGTCGTGCACTTTATCCTTACTGCTTTGAATAAACTGTTCACAATGTCACCGAATAAAATTAGGCTTCTGTGGTTTTTTTAAGCTGTTGCGGGTCGATCCATGGCAATAACGAGTCCCGAAATTAGAGGCCTGGGAGACGGAGTCGACTGAAAGAGAGCACACAACTAGCTGCTGAAAGGCACAACCAATAAGCGTAGTTCTACAGCCTCGCGTCAAGGTCACTCTGATAAAGCTCTGTGTGAACGCACCAAGAGCCATGATAGGGTGATGTGTATTGACAGCTATGATGCCTGCGCTCACTTTGTGCAAAAAACGATGCTTGTGGGTGTAAATTAGATGCCGAATGTGTGAGCAGAAGGCTCTCACGGCTCCATTGCCTTCATCCTCACATCTTTACCCTAATGGCAATGTTCCGGAACCAAAGGAGAGAGTGGTTCCAGTGGAAC